TAAGAAGAAAAATAAAACGTCTATAGAAGAAATTCGTCTTTGTTTTGCATCCCCATCATCCACGGTTAAACAGCAACGTCTACAGTTTGGTCCATAGAGCCGGATCAGCACCCTCAATATCATCACAGCATCTGGACAGGGTATTTCAGTTTTGTCTCCATTACGTTCCCTTCGTGACACAATACCTGTCGTAGTTGGATCTAAGTAATTAGTGAGAAGAAATACAGACCTTTTGTCTTTCCATTTCAAAATGGCAATATTCTTGTCAGAGACCCGGTAATCATGCTCACCTCGGTTTAGATATTTGTCTTCTTTCAGCTTGGGTAGATATTTTCTATTAGAATTGACAGTACCACAAGCCAAAATACTGTCTTTACGCAGATCAACTTGTAACAAATAACTGTTGAAATAGTTATCGAAAAACACTTTATGATACTTTAATTTTAAATTTTCACAAAACTGACGAACAACTTTTCCACCTAAGTCAGTTTGCACATTAGCTCCATCTTTCCCTGTATATATTTCGAAATCTAAACAATAACCAGACTCAGCACACATCATCCATACTTTGTATCCACGTTTTATTGGTTTTTTGGGCATATACTGCTTGAGATAACTGCAACCCTTAAATTTTATCATGCCTTCATCTATAGCTAGTTTTTCTGTTGGCTTATAGTTATTATCAAAATTTCTTCTTAGAATATCTAGCAAGGGTCTTATCTTATAAAGCTTGTCATAATTAGCGTCAGTCCTAGTAGGCATGAGACTATTATCATTCAAATGTATGTTATTTAGAAGCCAGCCAAAGCGGTTGAGTGGCATAAAAGATGCTATATAAGGGTCATGTAAATCTGGGGCAGAGGACCAATAATCTTTATAGCTAGGCAATTTTTTTATACCCATCACCAAGTTCAAGGCAAGAAAGACTCCTATCTCTTCAGGAGTTGTTGGTGTATAAGAGTTACCTTTTTGCGTAGCATACAAGTTAGTTTGAAAGCAGATAATTTGAATTAATTCTTCAGACCAAAACATACCGAACATCTGCGTAGGTGTGACATTCTCTAAATCTATTATATGTTGTGGTATACCTCCATCTCCTGTATATTCACCCGGTTCGTCCATTCTAAAGTTTTTCTTCCACTTCGGCTGAACCATGATAGAATCAGGGGTATTAGTCGTCGATGTACTTGTAAAATTAGATAAAGGAATATCGTCATCCGAAGGAGAGTCGTCCTCAACAACTGCCTCTAACTCAGGAGGTATGTCTCCTAAGACCATCAGACTTTGCTCTTCTTCATTGGATTCCACACTACAGATGCTGTCACTATCTGAAGGTATATCTTCTAGAAGAATACTTTCAATGTCCCGTTCATTCATTATACGCGGCATTCTGAAAATATAACAATTTTATAACAAAAGGACACAATCGATCAATACAAGTAAACTAAAACCTCATACAACTACAGTGGTCACTTATCAAACCACCTTATAATTTTTGTTAGTTATAAAAAAATATTAAAGATAATCTTTACTTTTTTACAATAGTCAATGAAATAATTACTAAACAATGTAAAAACACAAAAATATCGGTATCATTAGCTCACTTACCTTATAAATTCAATTTTCAACGCACTGATAATGAAATTTCACTTCACACACAATTTCGAATTATCGTAATAAAGTAACAGTCATCAACTAGCGCCAAAGTTGTATAAAACTCGGTCAATGACGCTTTACGGAATCAGAATAGGTACGTTCTTTGTCAATAGATGGCGTGAAAATATTCAAATAAAATATTAAAAGGTAGTTAGATATCTAACCACCAAACCCGAAAGAGTTAACTGTACTTATTTCAATAAACAACGCCTTCTGTTTATTAGTTTATATTCTGAAACATTGCCTTCTAAAAATCTTCCTCGAAATGTAAAAGAGGTATTGAAGTTATAATAAATTTATTGAATTATTTATAATTTTTATGTCAATATTTTGGTCCCTTATTTTAGTGTACTTATGTAATAGGTTGTGTCGTGTTTTTTTTATTATTAATTTTTGGTTTTTGTTTGATTTCAACATAAGATTTATTATATTATATAAGTTCATTGTGTAAGCTTGTATTACAGTTCTGTTAAGATTTTTCATATTTAATGTTTAAGCTGTTGGCCAGTGTAGCCAATGCTTCAATACATATAAAAAAAAATATGAATTCGCGCGGGAACCTTGAATACGTTTAGGCGCCTTTTCTTATTTGCGAATTTTTATTTTGTATATTTTTGTAATATAGTGTGTAAATACTAGCCTGTTTATACAAATAGAGAGTTGTACATATTATAAATATGGGGAAGGCGAAAAAACGTCGTAAACCGGAAAATCCTCCTGATGATAAAAACGTTTCATCGTCTTCATTGTCGTCTTCGTCCGATACAGAAGATGATGATATTATAGGAAAAAAATATGATATCTTCAAAGTCCCCGGATATAGCCGGAAATATTTGGAAGATTCAAAAAAATCTGAATTTATTGTTTTCTTGTCCCGAAAAGATGGACTTAACTTCAATGATAAAGACCGACTTGCATTATCTAATGCTCTAAGGAAAAATTGCGTCTCGGGTGTCCTACACCTAAAAGCAATAAATAAATTCAAAATTGGTATCACATTTGATGTATCCAACAACGCAAATGTTTTTTTACAAAATAAAAAATTACTAGACGAACTAAACTTTAACGCTGCAATTCCAGCAGCCGATACAGAAGTTACAGGGGTGTTAAGATCTGTTCCTACTGACTTATCTAATAAAAAATTTTTTTCGTTAATAGGCAGCTCCCGAAATGTCATTCAAGTGAGGCGATTTATGCGACGTGTACGAGGTGATGATGGCTCGGTGCGGTTTCTTCCTACGCAGACCGTAGCTGTTACATTTGCCTCCACTCAACTTCCAGAATTTGTATACTTAGATTCTTGGCGTCACGAGGTCAGTCAGTTCATTCCTTCTGTTAAGCAGTGTCTACGCTGCTTGAAATATGGACATATAGCCAAATTTTGTAAGAATGCCGAAATCTGTTCTATATGCACTGGTAACCACAACTACAAAGCTTGCAACGTTAAATCTGATAACGCTAAGTGTGTCAATTGTAGTGGGAATCATATCGCCATTTCAAATAATTGCCCCATTAAAAAACAAAAAATCGAAGAAAATAAAATCAAGGCTCACTCTGTAAAATATTCAGATGTTTTAAGGGAGCAAGCATTTCCACAATTACACGCAAAAAACATAGATACCCAACTTCAAAACTAAGTGAAATCAGACAAATTTATGAATATGATAACTGAAATTGTCACAAATATTATTATTACTAATAAGGACCAAAATGTGCCTATTAACTCCAGTTTTATTCGAGATGTATTTAATAAAACTTTAAGCAAAAAAGCTACCTTAACTCAATAATGGTTAATACCTTAAATATAGTTCATTGGAATGCCCAGAGCCTAGGTTGCAATAGGCTTGCCCTATCACAATTTTTATTTGAACAAAATATTCATGTAGCTTTAATATCAGAAACATGGCTAAGGCCAGAACAATCATTTAATATGAAATACTACAACATTGAACGTAATGATTCTGGTAACAAACATAATGGTGTTGCTATTCTTATCCATAAAAGCTTAACATATGACAAAATAACTACATATTATGACAATTCTTTACAAAATATATGCATACGTTTAACTGTAAATAATAGAGAACTTAGTTTAGTAAGCTTTTATTCTCCACTCCAATGTACTCCTAGGTTCGATAAAAATAAGTTTGAAACTTTAATTAAATCTATTCCACAGCCTATGATTTTTGGTGGCGATTTTAACGCTCACCATACTTCATGGGGATGTGGTTCGGACTCGATTCGTGGCAGAGAGGTCTTAGAAGTGATTGACAATAACAATCTTGTTTTGTTGAATGATGGTCAGGTTACAACAGTTGGTTCTATGTCTTGGCGTCCGAATGCTCTGGATCTATCTATAGTTTCTCCGTCGTTAGCTCTTTCATGTGATTGGTCTGTACACGATGATCCTCTTGGCAGTTATCATCTCCCTGTAATTATCAAAGTTCTTGTTAGAAAAAAAGGCAACAAAAGTTCTGATTCACATAATAATAGTATACATTTGCCCATCCACCCTAATTTTAAGATGGTTGATTGGAAAATGTATACCCAAAATGTAGAGTCCCTTTTAACAGACTGCAAATTAGAGAATTATACACCAATTGAAGCTCACTCTGCATTTTGTAAAATAATTAATTTAGCTATAGTAAGGTCGCTTCCACTTAGCAATTCTGCATCTATCAAAAATAGTAACAATACTAGGAAATCACGAGCTTTGCCCTGGTGGAACAAAAAATGTTTAGAAGCAGTTCAGAAATCCAAATTGTCATATGTTAATTTTAAAAATAATCCTTCTGCTGAAACATATATAGAGTTCAAAAGATTACAAGCTTTAAAAAAACTTACCTTGAAAACTGAGAGAAACAATAGTTGGATTGATTTGTGTAATTCTTTTAATCGTTGTACCCCCTTGTCTCGAATTTGGAAATTAATGCGTAAATTTAACAAAACATATTCTTTCAGTAATAATAATAATGATGATTGGATTCCAGAATTTTTACAGAAATATACCCCAGATTATGTACATAATTCACCTAGTTTTCCCATAGTTGATCATTCAAATACTTCATATAACTATTTAATTAAACCCTTTTCTTTTCAAGAGTTGTTGTCTGCAATTCATTCTAGAAGGAATACAGCAACTGGTCTGGATGGCATTCCTTATTCCATGCTCAAAAAGCTCAGTGATAATAGCCTCCAAATCTTCTTATCCATTTTAAATAGTTTGTGGAGAAATAATGATATACCCGATCCATGGAAGTCTGATTGTATAGTACCCATTTTGAAACCAGATAAGCCCAAATTGAATCCAAACTCATATCGTCCAATCACTCTTACATCTTGTGTTGGAAAAATCTTTGAACAGTTGTTAAAACAACGACTTGAGTTTTTTGTGGAACAAAATCACATTCTACCTGCAAATCAATTTGGATTTAGAAGAGGAATGTCTGCTCGTGAAAGTATTTGCCAACTTCATCTTGATATTCAGAATAGTTTAGTTAATAAGAATTTCTTGGTATCTGTATTTTTCGATGTTTCTGGTGCCTTTAATAATATAAATATTCATGTGCTTTGTTCTGAATTGGCTTGTTTAGGAATTCCAAGTAAAATAATTCAATGGATTTATAAATTTTTGACAGAAAGGGAAGTGTATGTCAAATATAATAATAATTTATATGGTCCTAGACGTGCATCCATTGGAGTTTGTCAAGGAGGAATTCTGTCTCCCTTATTGTTTATTCTGTATATAAGACGTCTTAATTTAGTACTAGGTTCTCATGTTAAAAATTTACAGTTTGCTGATGATCTTGTAGTTTATGCATCTGGAAAAAAATTAACAGAAATTACCAACATTGTAAATAAATCTTTAGAAGGTCTTTATAATTATTTTTCTTATTTAAATCTTGATATCAATGCCCACAAATCAAACTTAGTTATATTTGGAAAAATTCATAGCTCAGCCTCCATTGTATATTATAACAAAATCCCTATCCCCATTTCTTGTGAAGCAAAGTTTTTAGGAATATCATTTACTTACAATGTGTCATGGAACAAATATGTTGAAATTATAAGTTCAAAGGCTAACAAAGCATTTAATGTTTTAAAATCATTATGCAGATCATCCTGGGGAGCTGATCCCAAAATATTATTAATACTTTATAAGTCTCTCATTCGCAGTCATTTTGAATATGGGTTTCTCTGTTTTTCTGGTGATAATAGACTGGTGGATAAACTAGAAAAAATCCAAAATAAAAGTATGAGAATTATAACAGGAGCATTTAAAAGCACACCTATAAATTCATTACAGGTTGAATGTGGATTACCTCCATTAAATATAAGATTTTCCTACTTGAAAGAAAAGTTTATTTTAAAACTTTACACAAAAAAAAATAATCACCTTTTTTTAAACTTGGTCAATTCACATATTTCAACAGAGAATCTTTACATTCTTCAGAATTTTTCCCAATTTTTAAATTATATTAATGGCTTGCAAATACACCAGTCAGAATTGCTACCTTGTTATCAGGGACAATTTGAGAGTAAATTCCCAGCAATAAATATTTTCATTGATCATAAATTATCTTGTAAGCAAGATGTTTATAATAAATTTTCTGAGTTTTCTGGTCATCGGTTCTTATATACAGATGGTTCAAAAACAGAATCAGCAGTCTCTTTTGCAATTTTTGATGAGCAATTGAAGTTAGGTACAGGTTACAAAATTAATTCCAACACAAGCATATTTACAGCCGAGGCTCTGGCTATTCTTGCAGGTCTAAAACATATTAAATATAAAAATAATGGATGTCATAAGTGGGTAATAGTTAGTGACAGCATGAGTGTTTTAGAAAATCTTAAAAACAATAAGTTCAATGCTAACACAAACTATCTTATATTTTCGATTAAACAACTTTGGTTAGACTTGAACATTATGGATAATATTCAAGTATCATTTGTTTGGGTTCCTTCACACATTGGTGTGGTAGGAAATGAAAAAGTTGACTTTTTGGCAAGGTTTATAACCAATTCTTCAATAATCCCCGATTCCAGCAATAGCCTTAATATAACTGTTCCAAATAATGACATAATTTTTCTTTTAAAAAATAGATCCACTAATTCGTGGAAAAAACATTGGAATTTTAAAGTCCAAATAGAAAACAAAGGTTTATGGTATGCTTCTTTTAACGTTCCTGTAAATTCTACACCTTGGTTCTGCAAAAGTAACACTTACTTTAACAGGAAATTTTATACAACTATCCTGAGGCTTCGTTTCGGTCACTGTAGTCTAAAATACCATCTTTATCGTCTAAATATAGTACAAAGTCCCTTTTGCGATCGTTGTGACACTCAAACAGAGCAGTCTTTGGACCACATATTCTTTGAATGCCCATCCTTTGGCATTCAGCGCCTTGTGCTAATGGATGAGCTGATTGAGATTTATAAAAGTCCGGAACGGGTACCGCGCTCTACTTCAAATCTGCTCGTAAATACCTCCACATTTCTACCTTTGTTTAAATTTGTAGATAGCACAATTGGGCAAATATAGGTGTACATAGCTTAGGATAATTTTTACGTGTCTTTGTTGTATTTAGTCACTTTTTTCTTCTTTTTTATCCTATTTCGATTTTTTTGAGAATGAAGTCTCGAATGCATAGGTTTGTGGCATAGGTATTCTTCTTCTTCTTCTTTTATTAATGGCTTATCTGCGCATTTCGCACAATTCTGCCAATGTCAGGTGAATAAATTAATTTCTACATGTTAAATGAAAATGAAATGAATGAAATTTGGTTGATGTCAATATGAAACGGGAAGTAACTTTTGTTTGTTGATGTTGTAAGTCAAAGAATAATTCAATGGGTCTTTGAAATTTTTTGAAACGTATTTTTATTGTAATTTTGTTTTTATACTGAAGAAGTTTAATATCATTTTTATAAACTGAAGACTTAACATCATTTTTCAATACTAAGAAATACAATTCAACCAATGACGAGGCAGTATGGTCTATGATCTTAGCCTGTTCCGGAAGGAACGAATAATTGAAAAAAAAAAAAAAAAAAAAAATATGACAGCAATAGTTGTTGTCAAAATTCTATCTAAGTTTTGTTTATTTACTTATCTATTTGATTCAAATGAATTTTTAGTTTCAGTTCACTCTAGAGCATTGTTGTGGGGAAAATATCAATAACAATTCTAATACTGTTTCGTCTATGTCAGTCACTATGCAAATTAGTGAAAAACAAAATAATTTTATTTATTCCATAGTTCGCATCTTTTTCCTTTAGTCGTCAATAACATAAGTGCGTCCTAATGAAATACAAACGGGGATATTATGATGTTTTCTTGCAAACATGTGCTAAAAACCCGTCAAGCATTGCTATACGATACTATGATGAAGGCACATACAAAAATTATACATATTCCGAATTATATGGGGTCTGTGAATATATATCACAGACCCTACTGATGCTTAAATGTAATAAGGGTATTATTGGATTAGTATCAAAGCGGAATATAATTATTCCTTGTGTTATTGCTGCGTAAGTTGATTATAATATATATTAGTTCATTAACAAACTTATCAAACAATTATGTACATACTCTTAGTCTCATTTTTTATATTACGTCGGTTAATATGATATTTTTATTATTGCAGAGCACACAAATACTGTACGACATTCATGTTCATAGATCCAACACAAAATGTTGAGAGTATTGCTAAAGAAGTTTGTTTTAATACCATTTTAATAATCCAAAACAAAGGATCCAATCCACCTGAATTATTCAACAAGAAGCCAGACAAACTGGTGTCTTTATTTGATTTAGAAATAAGTTTCTTTGATTTACAATGTTATTTTACTAGTAAACATGCTATTTTTGAACACTCCTTTATTGCAATGACATCAGGCAGCACTGGAGAACCAAAACATATACAAGTGCCTATGAAATGCATTCAGCCCAATATTGATGATTTAACAAAACTTTTTAAAATAATTCCTGAAGATATTATATATTTCTCTACACCTCTAACATTTGATCCTTCCATGGTTGAAATGTTATTAGCATGTATGAATGGAGCATCTCTTCTTATAGCACCTGAAAAACCAGAAGTTTTATTTCCTAGTGATAAAGAAAATTCAATAACATTTTGGCAGACAACACCATCAAAATTTTTCCAGCATTCAAATGCAGATATCAAAAATAAAATATTGAGTCCTGATTCTACTTTGAAAATCTTAGCTTTGGGAGGTGAACCTTTTAATGGGGTCAGAAGATTAAGAGAACTTAAACATTGGAATAATCAAACTAGGGTATTTACACTTTATGGAGTAACTGAAATGTCATGTTGGGCGTGTGTAGCTGAAATAGATCTGAATACAACAGTTGTTGATAAAGAAATACCTTTGGGTAGCTGCCTTTCAGAAACTCAGGTTGTCATAGAGCCTGAAGGGAATGATCAAAATAAGGATACTGGAAAAATTATTTTAGGTAATTAGGGAATACATATAATATGTTATACATGTTAATATAGTTACAAAATGTAAACTCCATTAACAACATGTATTCTTTATTTTATTTTAGTTAGCAAAACTAGAAAATGCATTATATTAAATAAATCAAACAACAATGAAGAAGATAACTCACTAAAATTTGTTGATACTGGTGATTATGGTGAAACAAAGAATGGAACTATTTACTACAGAGGCCGTAAAGATGATGTAGTTAAAAGATTTGGTCACAAAATTAATTTGCAATTCATAGAATCCACAGCTATGCAATGTCCTAAAGTTAAAACATGTTCCTGTGTGTGGTTACCTAAACCATTACTCCTTGTATTATATTTTTCATCTGAAACATTTAGTAGCCAAGAGTTATCTGACTTTCTTAAATGTAAACTAGATGATAAACATTGGCCTGATAAAATTGTGAGGGTTGACAATTTACCAACCAATTCTCATGGAAAAACCTCAAAGATGATCCTTTCCAAAATGTATAAAAAAGTTAGTTATGCAACAAAAACATTAGATTCTCTGAAAGTCATTTTCCTGAAAGAACTTTGCCTATTACTGAGTACACAAGTTACATTTGATGAAATTATGAATAAGGATTTCTTTTCAATTGGTGGAACTTCTTTTCTTGCAATATCACTGTGCAACAAGATATCAGTCACATATCCTGACTTTGGAAAGTTTATTCTACCATACCTTATGTCACAAAGGAATACTATTGATGAGATCATGCAAATAGCACACAGAGAGCTTTGTGTAGAAGGAGCCAAAGCTAAAAACAGAATGAAAAGAACTATATCAAATACAGAAAGCAATTCAGACTCTCAAATAATAAAAAAAGTTAACAGTTATGAAAGAACCAATCCTGTTGAATTTATTGTGCTTTGGACATATGACACTGGAAAATGTGTGGATGCTTCGCCAGTATTATTTCAAACAGGATTGTGAGTGACTTATGTTGATCAACAAAATATTTTTTAAATCATAATTTTGTAGCCGCTATATACACTCTGCTACACCTCAGGCTACCATTATGTTAACTTTTTACATTGAATCTTGAGTTCTTCTTTCAATAGTAAGGAAAGAGTTTTGTTTAACAGATGTGCTATTGACTGTACAATCAATAGCATGTCTATTAAATACATCAAGTCTTACAATAACAACAAAATTATTCAGTTTCATTTAAAATCATACTGTATTAAAATAGAGTTCAAAATTTATTGTTTTTTGACATAGTCATCATCAATATGATGACTTAATTGATTGTTCTATGTTTACAAGACTTTAGATTGGATTGAAGATGAAGAGCAAAATGTGCTAAAAATGTGCAAGAGCTTTCTAAAGCTATATATTTTATTATGTTAAAGTACTAAGGGTACCTATACATCACTCAGCTCTAACCAGTGCAAAGGTTAGGTGCTGGAACATAAACTTCTTAATATAAACACATTGCACTCTTGCACAATTTTGTCACAACCTCTTGGACTATAAGTTATTTTTATCATGTTTTGTGTTACTTATATATAATTTTCTAATAAATTATAACGAAACTAAATAATTTCTTTCAGCAATCTGTATGTAATTGTGGGCAGCCACTCAGGCAAAATTGTAGTTGCGGATGCAATTTCCGGCGAATTGCAAGGAATCATAAGAGTTAAAGCACGTGTCGAGGCATCAGTTTTGTGTTACAATGAAGACTTGTCGACAGCCTGCGGTGTGGTTGGTGCTTATGACGGCACTATTGTATGCTTCACTATTGAAACTTGTAAAGAGATATGGAGGATCAATATCAATTCAATGATAAAGAGTAAAGGAGCATGCTGTAATGGTTTGCTCTATATAGCATCATACGATGGAAAAGTTCGATGTATCGACATATTGGTAAGAAGGTTAAATATATTTTTTAATCCTGTTCCCAGACAATATCTCACTCTTGGTGTCGCCCTGACTCGTTTCTCGATTCTGTCGAGGTCGTCATGTTACGAGGGTAGACATAGAATTACCTACATTTCACTGCTAATATATTAACATTTGGAATCGAAAAATTTGGCAGTTAATTATAATAATAACCTGGTTTATCTTGTAAATCTGGTTACTAATGTGTTGAGAGTCTGTACTATTAGGTAACTACATCCAAATAAGGTGTGAACTAGAGATAAAACGGATATCCGGTTACTAACCGGTATCCGGTCTATCCGGCCTTATTTTAACTATCCGACTGAATACCGGATAGGGTGCCAATATTCGGCCGGATACTGGATAGTAAAATAAACATAAAACTCATTATTTTACACAAGGAAAATTATACATTTATTAATTAGTTTAATACTCAAAATTAACAAGTGGCAAATTGTGGTGAATAAATACCAAACTTTCTGCTTTTGTTGGTAAGAGGCGACTCCGCTTTGTTTCATATACCAGGCCAGCTTCAGGGAATTCCTATTTTAAGTATTTGCCCGAGTTTATGTTTGCAATTTTATCTCTGCCACACTCGAATGTTGAATGTGATAGAGTTTTTAGCAAAGTAAATGACATAAAAACTAAAAAACGGAATTAACTCCTTACTAGATCGATTAAAGCAATTTTTTTATCGCAACAGGCCGTACGGCGTCACAAAGTACAAAATAAATATGTATAAAAATACCGAAATAATTATACTGTCCGATTCTAATTAATAATGTGTTTTTTTGTACTCTGACCCAAAACATATTGCTTAATATTCAAGGTAGTTCCACCGTATTCCAAATTAAAAATACTCAATAATTTTGAAAAAAAAAAACTACCATCCACTGGATTTTAGAATTGGTAACACTTCTTATACTTGACACGCTATAGATTCAAAACAAACTGATCGGGTCATGTAATGCGATAAAAGCCGAATATCCGGTATCCGGATATCCAGCGCTCCGGACTCGGAGCTTGCCATATATCCGGTATCCGGCCAAACCACTATCCGTTACATCTCTAGTGCCATGACCTTCCGCTGACTAGGCTTTCTACTGGACTTAACTATTTATATAACATGAAAGCAAATATTATACCTAATATTGCTTTAAGTGTTTTTTCGTATGGCATTTTTATATTTAACACATATTTATCTTATTGATTTCTTATATTTTCACGCGCACTATCCATAAATGAATTAACTTACAACGGTTTCATCGTGTTTTTGTTTAGCTTTATTGGAGTTTCGGACCCTTTACGTCAATAAAATTAAATACAAACGCGATGAAACCGTTTCAAAGTTTTTTCATTTTTCCTGTTCTTGTTCCTTTAACATGCATGCAATGTTATATTTTCAGACGGGACAAATTAACAATGTGATTGAAGTTACTGAGCAAGCCATATCGGCTGATCTTGTACTAGCAAAGAAAGAGTTTGTGCTTCTTGGAACTTTATCAGGCATTTGTGCTAGCATTCATATGGTGACCAATACTGTCGCTTGGCGCGGCGCTTTGAGTAGCCCCGTTTTCGCTAGCCCGATCCTATATGACAATGATAAGTACGTTGTTTTTGCCGAGGTTAATGGAGAAATTCATTGCAGAACCGTCGAGAAAGGCATCAAGGCGAGTTTTCATTAGATATTGTTTTATATAAATTATTATACACTATCTGTTCTGAACCATTCGAAATTATTAAAAGACCACTATCAAGTTTTCGCCTTCATTGCAAAAAATTGTAGATCCGAAACTTACTTGCCTACCGTATTGACGAAAATTATTTGATCCTGAAGTCCTTTGACTTTGAAGTATACAAATTGTTATCTGACATGATACTATAAACTATTATCACAAATATTATTTTAAATTAGGTAATGTCCTGTAAAATTTGTAGTGTTACTTTTAAGATTTGTATTTGATACTGAAAACCAGACTTATCATCAAATCCTTTATTGATCAATCCGTTCGAAATAGGAACAAATAGCAAAATTACGCAGGTTTGCAGATAAACGAATCTTTATGGTGCTGCTGGGCTGACGTCTATACATTTCATTTTACTGTCACAAAATACTGATGTAACGTGATCAAACCTAGAATCGAAAAAATATGTATCAAATTTAAATGTGTAACGCTGATGTCTTTTTAAACGAACGAGCTTCTATAGTCCTTTAGTTTAGATTAGAAGACACTGACTAACGTCCGCCCAGCAGCGCCGCATTATTTCTCAATTGTCTTAAAAAAAATACTTCAGCAATTTGTCACCTCCCCAGACTGATAAAAGACTCACTAATCTCTGAAACTGCGTAAAATGACTATTTGTCCCTATTTCGTAAGGAACTGATAAATAAGGGACTAAATGAGTAAAGAATTCGTTTCAAAATCTAAGGTGGAGCTGCTAGCACACTGATGTTCAAATTTGCATTTCAGATTTGGAAGTACCAAGGTGCGAAAGGAAATATATTTTCTTCAATGTATGTAAAAGAACTAGATAAATTGATATGGCAGATTGTGTTTGGATGTCATGACAACTGTGTATACTGTATCAAAATAAAAAACTTTCAACCAAGTTTGATTTGGAAAACGCAACTGACATCACCTGTTTATTCTACGCCTTGTGGTTTGGATGATAAACTAATATTAGCAGCATCAAATAATGGCAAACTATGTGTTATTGATTCTGATAATGGGATATTATTAGCAGAATACCAACTACCTAATGAAACATTTTCATCTCCAGCTGTGTACAGTGATTATATATTTATTGGATGTAGAAATGATCACATATATTCATTAAAATATGTTTCATGCTCATAAGTCTAATTTATAAAGGAATCCTTATCAGAATGCTATGAAAACAAGGAACAAATAGAAGAATAATATAAATATGTTGTAATCATATATTATATATCCTGTAAATAAAAAAGATTCTCATTATAATGTAACTTTATTTATGATCTTCCACGAACATATACATAGGTATAGTGAGCATTCATAATTTTGATTGACTTTATAAATATGATATGGTTACAAGATCAAAAACACCAAAATGGAATGCTTAACATTTGATAGAAATAAAATGTTCTTTCACTCAAGCAAACCATCTTATAGCAGCTTTGTATACTCTTAAATAATAAAAGCAATATTAAATGAGGAACAAAATTATGTTAAATAATGCTTAATTGTTTTAAATATTAAACTTACTTCTTGACATTTTTTGGTAAATAAACTTGCTGGTACCATTACATGGAAACATTTGCCCATACATAATATACAATTATCTACTGCCATTACATCTAAGCTCTTATAAATTTTTACCCAAGAATCCCTAATTAACATTATTGTTGCCAGAATAGTTTAAAAACAAATAAAAAATAACAAGCAATATACATAGATCATACAACATATTCACTGTTCTTCTTCTCCTAACTCTACTTTTACTTTAGAGAAATCAAAATCTTCATCAGTACCACGTTTATAGATCTTGAGTACATCTAAACAAGTAGTTTCAAAATGAGTGGTAGCATCGTACGACTCTGATATAAAAATTTGACTCTGGCTGCCATCATCAGTTGGCTCATAATAATCTGATACTGACACAAATTTCTGCCTAACAGGCCCCAAAACATCTAGGCCTGGTTTAATCTCAGACTCTGGATCATTTGTCTCAACAGTAGTGGACACCATAGCAATGAACCATCCTTTAGCAGCAACTTGGTGTGTGTAAGATACAAGAGATACATAGATATCAGAATGCCTTCCAACTTGTTTCTGAGGAATAATAATCTGAGTAGACAGGGCATCTTTAGTGTTAGAAATTGGATGATCTAATAAACAAATGCACCGGATAACCTGACCCTTCTTGCGAACTCGATCAGGAACATAACTGGGGTCACAGTAAACTTGCTTACACTTGGCAATTTCATTACCAGATTTAACCCCAATTACTCTGCCTCCTTCTCCAAGAACAATCTCATCAATAGGCTTATCCAACATATATGTGCCTCCATAGATAGCAGAGAGACGTGCAAACCCTTGAGGCAGTTCACCCAAGCCATACATCGGATACAGATATGGAGATTTGCCATACCGAGCTAATGAGTCAGAGTACAGTTTAATACGGCGAATAGTTTGAATGGCTGGCTGTTGAAGATAAGTATCATCAAGATATAAAGCTAGTGCATGACCAGTAAAATCTTGGGTATTCCTATCCAAGCCAAACTTATCATAAAGGGACTGCATGTTGGCTGTACTAGGATCAAAATCTTTCCAAGTTTTTGCATCCTCCTCCTGGAAATCTTGAACATAAATAAGGAAATTGCGAAAACGCCTTTTTTCGAACATACCCATAAGGTCGGATGCTAGTGCCTCTTTCTGATCTACAGGAACCTTAGAGATTTTTCCACCTTTGTAGACATAGCTACCCTCTACAGACTTGAATTCTAAATAACGGGTAACGCCCGTATGGATAAGCAACTTTACCAATAAGCCATTGGCCATTAAAAATTTAGGAATCAAGTCCACATTCCAGTCGCGGCCACGGCCGTAGGTTTCATCCGGCGGGGGTGCGTTGAACTTTGCAAACAAGTCTTCTAACGGGGTAATTGACGCAGATTCTCCGCCGTAGTACTTGTTACGATCAATGTGTAATACCTTCTTTCCCGACACGGAAAGCATTCCACTGAGAATGCATTCCTTGAGCCCGGTACCCAAGACGATTGCGTCGTATTCTTCATCCATGATGATGCAGAAGCACAAAGAGTGAAATTTTACCAATGAGAAATAACTAACTAACAACCGGGCAAGAAATGTCAAAATGTCGGAAGAAATATGTCCGCCATCGATGACGTCGACTACTTCTGGTAATAGCCAACATGAAGAAATGAATATAATATCTATTTTTTTTTAACTGACAAGTACGTTTAAAAATCTAAATTGAAAAACGTCGTTTCGTAAAATGTGTTTCAGTTCAACAATAAAAAATAAAAAAGTGATTTTACTTAGTTTTCTTCTCAACTGTTTTTCTTTATTGATAAAAAGATATGGAAAATTCTTATTTAGTTACTAGAAATAATTGCATTTATCAAGTCATTTAGGGTATGTTCCGATATACACTGCGAGCACTGCGCAGTGGTCTTACTGCTGAAAAATCCCTTCCGTTATGGACTGCCAGTACACTGCTACAGTACCCTAGGGAAATTTATGACGTCATAAATTGCCGCCATATTTGTACTGTGAGCACTGGAGATTTCGAGGTAAGGTGCTCGCAGTGCTTTTGATTACGTGATCAGTCGAAACGGAATCAGAAAATGATAAGTTACTAAATAAACAAAAAAAAATACTTACGTTTATTATAAGATGGATTTAATTGATAAATATTTTTTTTATACACAATTTTATAATATTTTCTTTTGAAAAGAGGAAATCTTTATTTATATTCACCTTGCATTAACAAATTTGAAAATGGCGCCAAAAAATAGGATTAACAGTATACTGGACTGCGTTCCGTTTTAAAAAGTCACCAGTATAACTAGCTATAGAGGAACGAGCTTCCAGTATACTAAATTGACGTCATACTGTTCAGTGGTCGCAGTGTATATCGGAACATACCCTTAGTTCGTCAAATAAAAATTACTGAACTAGTGATGTATATGTTTCCTGTCAACATTAATACATAAAATAAATGAGAAATTGTATTATAACTATTTTAATTAAGGATCCATAAATTACAAAGACATGATATTAATTTAAAATATTACTTTTTACAAGTTTTATTCTATGTTAGTCCATGTGATTCAATTATTTTTAAATCACATGGGGGAGACCGTTGACTTAAATGTTGATCAGTTTGTTATACTTATTTTCTCCTATGTGATTAAAATATAATGAAATAGACAAGCATTGTGAACCTTTATCTCATAAAAATGAATACAGATACATATGCGTACTCAGTGTAAAATGGTTCAGTATGTTTCGGTTTCTATTGATTTACTGAAAAGCAGTATCATAAATACGGCACATTTATGTAAGAGTAATGTAATTTTGCCACTCTAAGTCCACATAAACATAAACATACCTAGGTTTTTGTATTGAAAAAACTAAAAAACATTCATTACATGACAGTCTGCAACAAGCACCTGTGTTTTGTAAACTAAATGATATGAAGCGATCACACGTGACCTAAGATAGACAAGATCACAAAAAGCCAACCATCACCCCACCACAAGCCATTATCCGACCACAATAAGTCAACTCTCTCTCCATTTGGTGTTTTCTATTTCTGTCATTGTCAATTTGCCAATGAAAATGATTTAAACCAAGTACTAACTTTAGTCTTGGTGTTATGATATAGTATCACAAACTATAGACTGTCTATAAAGTCGTGAAATTGTGGTGACTGATACGTAATAATAATAATAATAAGCCCATTTATTTCCAGCAACCTTAAATAACTTAGTACTGTAATGTATTTTTCTTGTGGTGGTTTGTGGGGTGTAGATGGTTCTATGCTCACTATCGATGTAAATAATGATCACACGATATGATCACTAACACGTTTATTTCGATAAAATACAGGGTAAAATGTCTAGCACGTGTTTTACAGGCGTTACAGAGTAGTGCGGTGTCACTTCCAGAGAGGTTAGCGGCAGACTGACCAGGGGGGGCACACTTAGAAGAAAGTGTTTACGCTTAGAAACTAGCGCCATCTATGAACATGTACACAAACTTTTACATTTAGCAAAAGTTCACTAGATGTCAGTGCAATCAGCGTTAAATGTCATATCAAACGTCAACAAAGAAAAAACATGGCAGACAGAATCGATTGTTGTGCGGTGCGCCTGCGATTAATCTGTTTTGTTTGTTACATCTTGTAATTTCACGTTTAGAAGTTACATTTGTGCAAAACCTTTCCAAGCTAGTACGTTGAGTTGAGTATCATTCTCCTCCGTATATTTGACCAGTGTGAGACAGGACTCCTTTCGTGTTAGTTAAATAGTGAGTGTTTGGCGACATTTGGACGCAGTGATAGTTTAGTGTGTGTTGTGTAGTTATAATTAGTGTTTTAATATGCCTCCACGGTGCTTTCTTGGATGCCCAAGTGGTAAGTAGTATTTGATAAAGATTATAACCTGCGCAGACGACGGACTTCTCCGCCGACATACTAACCTAAAAGTGGAAACATTTCTGCGAATGCAACGTAAACGAAGATTGTTCTGCCCATGAAGCTCTTCCTGCCTCCTTGCTAGACCTTTACGAATAAAATAACCGTCGTATGTTTTGAACAAATGACGAAAGATACCACTTTTTAGTCCGGCGGACAAAAGTCCCTCGTCTGCGCAGACCGTTAATAACTATTTTCTTGCGGACACCATACTTTGTAAGGCCATCTAACTTTGTGACTTGTGAGTTTGAAACAGAGAACTCCATGTGAGCACTGTCTTAAGATAAATGTGCACATGCCACCAACCTTTTGTACATGTCTATCATGACATATCATTCATCACCATCACCAGCCCTTTTACGTCCCCACTGCAGGGGCTCAGGCCTTCCTTATGGATGGTTAAGGAGGATGGGCCATGAGCCTCCACGCTGGCCCAATGCGGATTGGAGGGTATTAACGACTGCAAATGCAGCCGGGACCAACGGCTTAACGTGCCATCCGAAGCACGGAGTAGCTCGAGATAATAATTTTTTGGTCACCCATCCCGTGACCGACCCTTGCGAAAGTTGCTTAACGACTACGATCGCGGGCCGCGGCGCTTATCCACTACGCCACCGAGCTACTCATATCATTATTCATATTAAATCACTATTCTTAGACACACTTATTAGACCACTGTCTAAAATGTAAATTTATATTTTTTTCAGATAAGGGAGTACACTTGCATGTATTCCCAAACCCAATACGATTTCCCGAACAATTTAATCAGTGGGTGCAAATTGTTGGAGGGTCACTGACAACAGATGGAGATTATGCATTCTATCGTAAACAAAGACTGTGTGATAGACATTTTACAGAAAACGACAGAAACAGAAATAACCGATTGAATGCTGTTGCAGTTCCATCATTGTTTTTGAAAGGTATATAGCCACAGTTACAAAAAAAATTATTGAACCCACATTTTGTGCTAAGAATTTTAGCTTGTAGTTTTTGAGATTATTTCATTATGTTTTTTATTTTCAGGTGAACTGCGACATCCAGTGACTGAAACTGTAGGTGCTTTTGAAACTGTGCCACAGATATCTATGGATGTACATGTACCCCTACTTCGAAGAACTTCTATTATTGATGGTAAGGAACTCATTGCTTAACATGTTTTTGTTTTTAACTTATTGTGTGACTTTTTTGTATGATAGGTAAGTGAACATAATATCAAACTGATGATTATGCTGCATAATATTACAGACTTCAAATACTTAAATCTATTTGAAGGATAATCTATCTAATCTTATAAATAAAATTATTGTGTCTCCCTGTGATTTATAAATAGAACCTGTTTCCTTAGCCTTTCGCCTGTCCCAGTTATTTATTAAATTATTTTTATCCTATACATAGGACTTTTTTCTCAATAAGACACTTAACAGATTACAGTTATTTTATTACCATAATTTCGCTAACACAATCTATCAGTTAACAAAAAAGTAATAAAATTTGTAAAAAATATATATTCATCAACTTTTAATGGTGATATTGAATGTTTCCAATTTTAAAAATAATGTGAATAAAGTATTTTTCATATATATATTTTTTTTTGTAATGAGATGGAATTGCAGTTGGAATATGAGATTAATAAGGGGTACCAAAAAGTTCTATTTATTTACTTTTCATTTCCTTAATGTCAGTTTGAAACAACTCATTGTTTTTAAAATTTGCAGAGTAATAATATAATGTTATAAATAAGATAGTATTGAAAAATGCAAAGCCTTAAAAGTTATAAAACATTTAGATAAATAAATAAATTTACAGATGAACCTGCAGCCAGTGCCTCAGCATCAACAGTCCGAGTTTCTGAGCCTGCAACAGAAATTACTATGGATGTTTCTTGTCATCAAACATCATCGATTGCATACTCGACAGGTAATAATGTAGGAATCACTTGATTAAATGGGAAAACTGTAGTTTATACTTATTATGCCTTAATGTAAAATATATATTGAAATTATTTGTTAAAAAGTTAATAATATTTTTTCTACTCGACAATTGAGCTGTGGACTTGCTATGCCTTATACTTATTATGCCTTAATGTAAAATAAATATTGTAATTTTTTTGTTAACATTTAAATAATAACTTTTTATTTTTAAAAATCTAGAATAATACGATTCCACTATCGAGCAATTTACAATTTTCAATTGTGGACCGGTAATCCAAAGGTTGCGGGTTCAACCCCGCCCGAGCCTTGTTATTTTTCAGTAAAAAATTTATATTTAAAGATAGCATTGAAAAATGCAAAGATGAAAAAGTTATAAAAAATTGAAATAAATAAATAAATTTTCAGATAAACCTGCTGCCAGTGCCTCATCATCGACAGTCCGAGTTTCTGAGCCCGCGACAAAAATGACTATGGATATTTCTTGTCATCAGACATCATCGATTGTATACTCGACAGGTAATCATTTGAGAATCACTTAATTTGGCAATATAAATTTAAAATTTTTACTTAAACCACCTAAAATTTTTTCTAATACATATACATTCCTATACTATTTTACTCTCTACTTGTATTTATTATCATAACTAATGTTTTAGAAATTTATAAAATGGTTGATTACTGTAACTAATAGGTACTCAATGAATTTATAAAAAATATGGTTCTAAAAGTCATTACAATTTTTTTCAGGGCCAAGCATCTCCACATTTTTGGAGCATAATTATA